CTTCTTCTTCTTATATATATAAAAAGTGGAAAATATATATATATATATATATATATAAGTGAAGGCAAATTTTGACTTATTTTTGTATTGTAAAAAAAATGGACTTCGTCAAAGCTTTTGACCTTGTATTAATATGCTTTAGCAATTCAGCACATGGAGATAGGTGAAATCTAAATGCGAAAACAAGGTTGAGATGCCTTCTTCTTCGTAATGGGTAATCAACTTCTTCCCATTATAGCGACCTCTCCTCCTCTTTCTTCTTCTTTATATATATAAAAATTGGAAAATATTCTAAGATATATAAAATATTATATTCATATACCTTACCGATATATTTATACCCGATTATGTTATAAAGATTCAGCAGTTGGCTAGTATATATATATACCGATAGTTAAAAGATTCCAGCAGTTGGTGGTAGTGGTGATGCTAGTGATTAATATTAATGACAAAGTGTAACTTTAAGTATTTAAAAAATAAAAATAAAAACAATATTCATTATTTGATAATATAAGATATATAGAATAAGATGCAATTTTTCAAAAGAAATATAACAATAATTGCAATAAGTTAAAAAATTAGCTAGTAATAGGAGAATAACTAATTTCATTCAGTAATCATTTATTGAGATTATATATTGTTTAAAGTATTGAAAATAAAAGTTTATGAATTAACTATTTGAAAGTTTTAAAGTTTGGACAAGTTTAATTATTTTGAGATAATTGTATATAGATAAGGTTCAATAATTTAAATAATTAAATATGGATAATTTATTATTTAAAATATTTAACTTGTCCAATCACAATAAAAAAATAAGGAAAATTTTTTAAAATTTCTAAAAAAAAAGAGAAATAGAATACTGAATAAAGAGAAAGCGTTAAATTTTCTATTTGTTTCGGTTTTCATATAGATATATTTAGATTGAACATTAGGGGAAAAAAGAAAGTCACATTTATGGAGTCATCCGTCAGTAACTATTTGTCTCCCTTTCTTTCCTTGCATTTCAACTAATGATCCACCTAAGCAAAATGTTGTTTTTATAGTATTTAGCTGTTTGAATAAATAGTTAGTAGTTTTTCATGAAATACTAAAAATAAAATGTTACAAGAATTAATTTTTTTTTTTTAAAACGCTATATTAACGTCTAAAAGCTAACTCAAGTGCTATGTTACCGAACAGTATGAAGTTAATATTTAACATTTTAATTGGTCTAAACCTAAAAGCTACTTCAGAAGTAGTTGTCGAACACAGCTTAAAAAGATAAATTTCAAGATTTTTTTCCTTTTTTAGCATTAAAAAAAGAGAGATTTGAATCTGAGTCTATATTAAAATTATATATGTACTTTCTGTTCATAAGTATTTCAAGAAATTAAACTTTGGTATTTCTCTTAAGAATACAATAAATTTGATAATTTTGTCTTGAAAATAAAATGGAAATGAAAACATAAGTTGATATCCACATCTTATCAAAAATCTTATCCTACACATAAAGAATATACAACATATGCATTTTTTGAAAATGAAAGAAAAGAATAGAACCATATATGTATATTTCAAGGTCTATTTTCATTCTCAAAACATTCCAACATTACGTTCAAATGGTTTGACGCACGAAAACCACTGGTGGAAAATATGTAGTTAAAGAGCCAATAAGGGCAAGCATTCTCGCAGAGATAGTACGTAGTATGATTCAGCCAGGGATAAGGCAATCATGCAATATCTCAAACCCTTGACCAGGATCTTTGGATGCTCTATTGGCCGCACAAAAGTAGGGTTTCTGTTCTAATTCTTGAAAGGGCTTATTAGTATTTGTAAAAATATTTATACTATCTCAATTATGAAGAGTTGGAGATTATCTACATCTCGTACTCTTTCTCTGCATGTTTTCGATAATTTTTTAGATATCGTTTTTTATTAAATTTGATAAATTTAAAAAATTTTAAATTTTCAAGTTATACCACCATAAATTACATTGTAAGGGCGTCTATATATGATAACGACAAATACTAACAATATATACGGTTTGTATATATCTTCCTCATGATCGGAGATAGTTTAAAATAAGTACAATTGTTACAATATTTCCAATAAATTGATATTAATTAACAATAAATACCCAAAATGAGAGAATTAAACTTTGAAATCTTTAAATCCCTATATCTCAACTTTAAGAATTAAATTAAAGCATAGATTCCAAGATTTAAAATAATTGGTATTGAAAAGTTGATGTCGTTGATGGGGACAGTGCTTAGGTCTTCACATTATCCGATTGTTCCCTAGTAGGACAAGCCTACCATTTGCATGCCCAGTTAAAGCCATTTAATACAGGTGTCGCATCATCATCAACTCAAAAACTTATACTACCTTCAATTACTTTGTCACAAATTAAATTGGGGATGAGTCTCTGCTTGCTCTCATTTTTTTTTTTCTTAATCAATATTTAAATAACCCTAGTTGCTAAACTTTTAAAGTAAGTAGTGCCTACTAATAAAGTGTTAATTGGTATGATAAACGATCTCAATATCCGTTATGGTGAGAGTATAAGTTCACTTTCTAAGGAGCGCACTTTACTTTGAGAGCCGAATAATATGTCTATTTAGCACTTTACTGCATACTTATGATGTTTTTGCAATTAGCTAGTATATATCTAGATTTTACAGTAAGCCAAATTTACATTCTTAATTTTATTTAACTCCGGATTCTTCTTATTGAATATTTGATAATAATGACAGTAAATTGATTTTTTAAAACTCAATTATAATAAATAAACAATGGATAATTTTTAAAAATTACAGATTATATATATAAACATTTTTTAAATATATATAAATATATAAATTAGATGCGATTTGGTTAGTTTCTTGCCATTATGAGATGCCAGAGATTTCACGTCCAAATTCTTTTCACCATAAAATTTTTTATTAATTTAGTGAACTGTTGAATAAAAAAATTATTAAAATTATTAAAATATATATAATTTGAACCTTAGGACAAAGGTGACGATGCTGCACATATAATTTAAAGTGTAAGACATTGAAATCTTTCTATTATTATTGTGTTTACCGATATTAGTTATTATAATAATTGTTACACGGTTACTATTCAAAATATTAAGAGAATAACGTTCTATGAAATACACTCTTTATCTTTAAACACTACTTATATCATACACTATAATTGATAAAAATAGCACTTTAAACGCTAAATGCTATTAAAAAATGTACATATATATATATATATGTGCATGCACGTGTATGTATGTTACTTTATTAAAGCCTAAGACAAAAGTGAAAACCCTAATTTTTTTTTTTAAGGAAAGGAAAAGGTATAAATATAAAAGCTAGATCACTAAATTGATAACTATATATGATTCTAGTGCCTCAAGTGTCACTATTGAGTACAAAAAAAGAACTATATAGGTAGAGATATATATACTACAGCAGTTTTGTTTTTTTCAAACTCATTGGGGGAAAAACTATAGGCTATGTCAATAGTGACATGCCACTAAAATGGTTATTCTTAAATGCTGTCTAGATAAAATGGCCTATCCATTTTCTTTTTCAGTCTCTTTCTCAGCAAGTCTTTGGATATTAGCATTTCTTGCAAGGAAGTAACAAAATAAGTTGGTTGTTCAATGCATCTCCTCCAAGAAAGAAAAAAAAAAAAAAGGAGCTTTTAGCCTAAAAGTAATGATCTCAAAGAATCTGACCTTACAGAGAGGGTAAAGGATGATAAAATTTGTACTAACAAGACAATCAATGAAGTTGGACTAAGGCCTTTCAATTTCAAGCCATAAGAACATGTCTGTTATGGTGTACAATGGCGTTTAGCTCCCACAAATCATCATTGTGTCAAGAAACTATGAATGGAATCATTTTATCCTCGGAAATGATATTATCTGTCGGCTGTATATATAGAATCATCATATTTGACATATCATTATAATATATAAGAAGAAAAAGATTTACTTACGTTAGCAATAAAAATCGCCAAGTGGGTTTTTTTTACGTAAAATAACGTATCTTTTACTGTAATACTATAGACAATTTGAAAAGGATGTAACACAATTTGATAATGCGATTCCTTCAAATGCGCAAACTATGTGTTCACCTTAGATATTCTTTTTCTTTAAGGATTGATAAGGACATGAAAATTTGAACCCCATTTAGAGAGGAACAAATTGTTAAATCTTTGAAGATGGAAAATCTTGCTTGTATTTATAGAAATGATGTCATATCAGAAGGGACTTATTCAGAGTATATATAGTGATGGGGTTTATTATTGGTGCATAAAGAACAATGTGTCAAGGAATTGGACTTGACAACTTTCATAAAATTCATTACAGGTACTTTCATGCTTTTCTGCTAACATTGAATATAGATACTTTTAATTAATTTATATTTTTTTTATATATGAAATAACATAATATTAATTAAATATGGTTTGAGTTTTGTAAGTACTTTATATCATCAAACATATAGTATAAATTGATAATTATGTATATTGTTTTTTTTTTTTATTATATTTCTACAATTCCAAAGAATCATAGGAACTCCAAAGAAAAAAAAACAAAGGCCTAGCATCTTCTTCCACTTCTTTGTTGATGAATAGGTGAAATTTGTGAGACCTATACATATATCAAAGGTCATGTCTTCTCGCAAAAGTCCTATGCCTATGCACTAGTTATTGTTGTCATTTAGCCATGCACAGACCATAAAAGCAGCTCAACCGCTAAATTTAACAGGTCCGAAAATTTCTCCCAAAAAGAAGAATCTAAGAATCAAGATATAGAGAATGATTCAATGCATAACTCCATTTTGATTAATCACAAGCCATTCAAATGATTGACAATGACATTAGGGCTTTCCTTCTTTTTTTTTTTTTTTTTTCAACTTCATAAAACAGAGTGTGTATATATGTATATATGATCACTCAAACAATTAGCACTAACCATCATCAAAAGAAAAGTCAGCTCATACTTCTTCATTAGCTACTAGCCATTGAAAGTTGAAACCAGCATTACATAAATAGAAGTGAATCTGACTTGCATACACAGAAATTTCAATTAAGTCAAATTAAGAAATTAAGCTAGAGAGATTAGGAGTTCAGGTCCATCTCCACTGCGAAGAAAGCGGCACTAGAAACGACTTTTTAACCGACTTTTGAGGCTTTTTCTTGTCTATCTCATCCACTAACAAACATCATTTGTGGCATTGATACCTCCAGGTCATCACATCAAACGTATACTCAATCCACAGCACACAGCTTAAAAGGTTGAAACATAAGATGAGGATTCAAATAGAAAGTACAAGTGAATAATTATGGTGGAGATGGTAGGTTACTACTATTTCAGCACAGCACTTCATAGAATAATAGTCCATGATGTGAGATTAAAAGAGTTACAAGACCAAAAGGAACGGTTCAATAGTAAAGCAGCTTAATTTCTCCACCATCCCCACTTCTCGTTCTTTTTCACCTGCCTCCATTACAAAGGTGCAAGCATAATTTGACACAACTAAGCTCAAATATGAAGGCGACTCGACAGAGTTGCAAGGACACTAAAATATGAAATAATGAACTACATATTCCAATTCAAAAGTGCTAGAGAGAATTAGTAGTAACTAAATATTTTATTTATCAACATTATATTCATCAAAAGAACTGCAGTGCTGAGAGAATTATCGACTTGGAATTCCAAAATAAGACATTTTCAGCAGTTCATTTCAGCTGTAAATACTAAAAAACACCAAATCTCTCTTCAGCAGCGATATGATGCTAAGCTGATAGCACATCAACTGGGAAAGGGAATCACTAAAAAAATATGCAGATTCTAACAACATATGAGAAACCGGGACCATCTGGTTATTTTGATTTTCTATCAAGATAGAGTTCTTTTGTTGAAAGTTTCCACTGTCAAGTTGGCTGTGAAAGCTGGGATAGAATTCATCTTATGAATAAATATATCAACCTGTAAAAGTCAGGCTATGGATTAGTACAATTCACCAGCAACACAGGCAAGCAATTTTTCAAGTAACTTGAGAAACAAACACACAAAAAGCATAATTCAGGAGAAATTAAGTTAAGCAATCAGCCAAGTAAAAGAGTGACCGATAGCAAGTTAATTCTCTCACTGAAAGTTAATTAAAAAAATAATGCAGATGTTTGGCATTCTTGTAGCTCTTTATCTGGGTTTTTCTACCGTCTCTCTCTATGTCATTAGAAATTGTCCATTTATACCACATTACAAAACTTGGATTAAAGATCAAGGACAAACTTGTCCTTTTGTGGCCTTGATTTTCTATTGTACCTATATGACATTATTAGAGGTAACAATCAGATTTTGACCAAGAAGAGGCTTAAACCACAAAAATACTCCGAACTATAAGAATTGTTGCAAAATCACCCCAAAATGGCCTTTATACCCCGGGCACCCTCATTTGGAAACTTGGATATATTAGCACCCTAATTTTAAAATCAGACCATGAAAAGGACTAAAATGATATTTAATATGGGACCAACAGCTTGACCTTGTGTTAGTTTAACCCGAGAGAGCCAAAACTCATTGTTTTGCTTCACCCATAATTCTTTCAAAGCTAAAATCATAACCATAGTTAAGGGCACAAAAATACTCCGAACTATAAGAATTGTTGCAAAATCACCCCAAAATGGCCTTTATACCCCGGGCACCCTCATTTGGAAACTTGGATATATTAGCACCCTAATTTTAAAATCAGACCATGAAAAGGACTAAAATGATATTTAATATGGGACCAACAGCTTGACCTTGTGTTAGTTTAACCCGAGAGAGCCAAAACTCATTGTTTTGCTTCACCCATAATTCTTTCAAAGCTAAAATCATAACCATAGTTAAGGGCAACCCCGGGCACCCTCATTTGGAAACTTGGATATATTAGCACCCTAATTTTAAAATCAGACCATGAAAAGGACTAAAATGATATTTAATATGGGACCAACAGCTTGACCTTGTGTTAGTTTAACCCGAGAGAGCCAAAACTCATTGTTTTGCTTCACCCATAATTCTTTCAAAGCTAAAATCATAACCATAGTTAAGGGCAGTGTTGTTTATAAAAGAAATTTCCCCAGATGCCCTTCGTCGAGAGAGCGATTCATAGTGGAGAGGCAGGTTTCAGTGCAGGTATAGACTTGAGATTGTCTCGCACTGGCTTTGCCCTTGTTAAGGATTAGTTTTAAATAGAACTCTATTAGGAGTTAGATTCCTAATAGGTTTATAGTATCTTGTATGTGTATATATATGTGTCCCTATTGATGAATCAAATATAGAAAAAAAAATATTTTTCCCACATTAAAATCAATTGTATCAGAGCCTTTGGCTCGGTTAAGCATTTTTTTTCTTTTTTCTTCGTTTCTACGTGTTGACGATTTTGGCGACGGCGCGACAACTCAGATTCGGCGCCTGTCAGTCTACGTCTCCTTAGCCTAGGCGTTTGCTTTTGTCTCGTCTCCTACCTAGGCGTTTGCTTTTGTCTCACCGCCACCCAAGGGAGGAAGAGTGACCTCCGATCGGCGTCTCCACCAAATCCGGTGACCTGAAGACCGGCGAGTGTGTTTCACGCGCCGCCGAAAGAATCGGACGTCATCTCACGCGCCGGCGAGTGGAGGCGCGTCCGACAGTTTCCGGTGACCGGATTTCGTCTCCCAGGATCGACTCGACGTCCTGATTCTTTTCCAGTGGTTAGTTTTCGGTTCCGGCAGCATCTGGTAGGCGCTTTCTTTGTTTTTTTTGCTACTGCTGTTTGGATGGTACAGGCTCAGGTTGAGTGGAGAGAACCGGAGATTGAGTGGAGAGAACCGGAATCTTCTGTTTGAAACGGCAGTGCGAGGAAGTGAGTCAAAGACGGTCCCTGCCGTCTCCTGGCAATAAAACCTGGCTTTCAAAACGAACGGCGTTGTAGACGTTGGTGCAGGAGCATGGAATAAGGAAGCAGCAGGACACTGGCAGTAGGCTAGAGCAGGAATGCAAAAGTCAGGAATATGAGCAGCTAGCAGGAGACGTTTGAACTTGCCGGGATAGCATAGATTAAAAGGTCCATCATCCTCCCCCTCACTCTTTATATATAACGAACGAACGGAAAAAATGGAGTATTCTCAAAAAATGCTGGACAATCCTGCAGAAATAAGAACGGTTCAAGACTCAGGAGAGAAAACAACGATACCCTTTCTTTGATCGCCCGAGAATACCCCAATGGAAAACACAACGAAGGGCACTTTGGCATCTAAGTTTGGACACCTGTGGACGAACATCACGAACAACAAGTACAACCAAAAATACGACGGTTTTAACTGCCGGAATAGAAGTTTAGAAGAAACAAAGATATTATAAGGAATTGCACCATTAAGCACACGAAGAAGGGGCCATGCGATTAAATTAAAAAAAAACATGCCAGTAGAGACAGGCATCAGCCCAAAAAATGGTTTAGACCTTCATTTGGAAATAAAGTGCCCCTAGCAACCGTCAACGAAAGATGCGATTTCTTTCTTTCGCAACCCCATTTTTGAGGTACAGTAAAGTATCACACACAAGATGTTTGATGGAGAATACCATTTCTGCTGACATATAAGATTGGAAGAAACAGATAAGGCTATTTCTTAGAGCATTATCACTGTGCCACATATCGCGAACAAAGTATATAATCTGAGTCTTATCAGCACAAACAAACTTGAGTTTTAATTTCAGCACAAAAAGAACAAAAAATAGAGAATATCTCAGAACGAGTTTTCATTAAAAATAACCAAGTAACACGAGAATAATCATCCACAAAAGTTACAAATACCGAAAGCCAGTTTTAGAAATAAAAGGACATGGACCCCAAACATCAGAATGAACTAACTCATAAAGGGATGAAACCCATTTATTGACTCGAGGAACTAGAGGTAAACGATGATGTTTGGCAAATTGACAAGATTCACATTCTAAACTTGATAAAGACTGAAACTGCGGACACAACTTCTTTAAAGTAGACAATGACGGATGAACGACACATGAACCTCAAGAGGAGATAGAGCACCAAGCAACAAGCCGAAGAGATAATGAAACAGTGTTTCATCCAGGAAGACTCAAAGCGCCACCAGGGGGACTCACGTCCTCTTACCAATTAATCCGCTTCGTTCAAAAGATCCTGAAACACACCAATACTGTAGGATAAACATTTGACAAAAGATCCTGAAACACACAATATGTAGGATAAAATTTAACACAACAATTTAGTATACGAGTAATTTTGCTAACCGATAGTAGATTAAACGAAAAACGAGGCAAGCAAAAAACAGAAGACAATGAAAGAGATGGAATGGGATTGGCAGTGCCAATACATTTGACAGTAGATGTGGACCCATCAGCTAAAGTAACATGACGATTAAATAGTTCAGGTTGTTTTAATGAGGATAAAAGACTAGGGTTACCTGTCATGTGATCTGTGCAACCAGAATCAATGACCCACTCTGATGAGGTAGACATAAGACATGAAGGATTACCTGAATTGGCAGCAGCAGCAATCGAGGAATCAGTAGAATTAGAAGAACGGTATCTAGAGAGCTCAGCATACTCCGTAGCAAAAATTGTTACAGTGTTATCAGAAGAAGTAACTGCAGAATCTTGAGTGGCCATATTTACCCTTGCTGGCTTATTGATCAGTTTCTTGCAATACCGTTTAGTGTGACCAGGTTCATGGCAATAATGGCAGATAAGAATACTTGCCTCCCTAGAAATTGGCCCATTACTACGGGTATTTCCTCCTCTTCCTCTATTTCCTGGCTGCCTGGATACCTGATGTCGACTTACAAGGGCACTATTATCAGAAGAGGAGGGGGTATGAGAACCCTCAGTTCGTAACAATCCAGCAAAAGTCTCCTGAAGAGAGGTAATATCACTGCCTGAAAGAACCTGTGATTTGGCAGTTTCAAAAACCGGAGCAAGACCTGCAAGAAAACTCATCACAACCATTTGTTCTCGCTGGGTCTACTGCCTGAAAGAACTTGTGATTTGGCAGTTTCAAACACTAGAGCAAGACCTGCAAGGAAACTCATCACAGCCATTTGTTCTCACTGCGTTTGTTGAACCTTAACATCAGGACTAAAAGGCATTAAAACATTAAGTTCCTCGTAAATCTTCTTAAATTCCACAAAATAAGTTGTAAGGGGCTTATCTTGCTGGTCGGCTCGATAAAATCCCTTGCAGACTTCATACATATGAGACAGATTTCCTTTTCCCGAGTACAAAAATTCAAGATAATCCATTAATTCTTTAACAAACTCACAATGATTAATTAACCCAACCACTTCTGTAACACCCACCGACCAATCCCGGAGAACCAGACGGCGGATGCCACAATCGGTGCCAGAGCACCGTCTTATGTCACTTATTAAAGTTTAATTATGATCATCTTTCTTCTCTTCATCTCGTTGTTTTTAAGTAACTTAGACTCTGTCTCTATTCCCTTAAAAACTGTTCGTCCAAGGCTTTGTCCCATCTGGTTTGGTGCTGCAGCAATGGAAAGAGGAGATGGCCTGCCTCTAGATACTAATGGTACTTGGGATCTTGTGCCTCTCCCGGCAGGTAAGAAAGCTCAATTGGTTGCAAGTGGGTTTTCACCGTTAAAAGTGAATCATGCATTGGGGACTGCTTGCTCGTCTCAAGGCTCGATTTGGTTTTGCAACAGGGCTATTCTCAGAATTTCTAGGCCTGGATTATCTGATACTGTTTCTTCCTGTTCGCCAATTGCCTCTTTTGTTCGTTTATCTTATTTCATCAGGCAGCTACTTTTGACTGGCCTTACATCAGCTGGACGTAAAGAATTGCCTGTCTTCATGGGGATCTTCCAGGAGGAAGCTTTACATGGAGCAACCCACCCAGGCTTTGTTGCTCAGGGGGCAGTTCGGGTAAGCGTAAAGTGTGTCAAACTGTCGAAAATCTCTTTATGCGCCTAAAAACAGAGTCCTCTGAGCTTGGTTTGTTAGATTCTGCAATGTGGTACATCAATTGGCATCGCCAGAAGGTACCTATCTGATCATCTCTGTATTTTTTCAGCAAAGTACTACAGCACTGGCTTTGATTCTACTTGTGGTTTATGTTTGATGACACTTGTTATTACACGGAGTGACTTCAGCCGGGCATTACATCACTCAAGTCATTTCTCCAGACCCAGTTCCAGACAAAAGACTTAGGATTGTGAAGTATTTTTTGGGGTATTGAAGGTATCTAGGTGTAAGGAGAGGCACTTCTTATCTCAAAGGAAAGTATTGTCTTGACTTACTCAGGAAACTGGGGGAAAAATGGGCTGCCAAGCCATGCAGTGCTCCAATGACTCCAAAATTTGCAACTTTCAATCGGTGGTGAGTTATTTGATTGATCCTGAGACTGCTATAGAAGGTTCAGTGGGCAAATCTGAATCTATCCTTACCGCTTTAACACGTCCAGGATATTGCTTACCTTCTGTGAGCGTCTTGCAGCCAGTTTTATGGTCTCTCCTCACTCGTTCATCCATGGGAAGGCTTTGGGACACCACATTTTGTGCCTTTACTTGAAAGGTAACATCCACGGGTCGTGGCCTGCCTTTACAGTAATCATAGGCATTTGAACACTTGATGTTTTCTCAGGGTGCGGATTGGGCAGGTTCGAAGGTTGATAGAAGATCAACTCTCAGGATATTCGTCGTCTCTTGTAGCGTGGAAACTTCGATATCAGGAGGAGCCACAGAAACCAAAACTGTAGTCTCACGCATCGAGTGCTGAATCAGAATATCGAAGCTCATGGCCACAACTCTGCCTTGGTGAATTTAATTTGGAATTCGTCAGTTGTTAGAGGAAATTGGCCTCACAGTCATCCTTAGCCTGATCCTTGCTTGCAAAGTTATGATGTGATAATCAAGCTGCTCTTCACATTGCATCAAATCCAATATCTCATGAACGAACAAAACATATCGAGATTGATTGTTATTTCATTCGTGAAAAGATACAACAGAGTGTTATCTCTACAGCACATGTTAAAACAAGTGAACAGTTAGGAGATATCTTTACCAAAGCTCTAAATGGACCTCGGGTGGACTATTTTTGTAACAAGTTGGGCATGATTAACATCTATGCTCCAACTTGAGGGGGAGTGTTAAGGATTAGTTGTAAATAGAACTCTATTAGGAGTTAGATTACTAATAGATTTATAGTATCTTGTATGTGTGTATATATGTGTGTCCCTATTGATGAAATACAAGCAAGAAAACATTTTTCCACAATAAATTCACAAAGCCAAAATTGGAAATTGCAATAGGAGGAGCACAATAGGCCCATTTTTATCTTCAGACTTGAAATAATAACAACCCCGAGAAGTGCAACATTTAAAATTTATAGCAAATTGCATTGCAAAAGTGAATAAAACTTGTAGTTTGAGTTTTTCAATATTATAGAACATGAATCCCAACCTGGAATTTATGCTTTGTCCTGATGGAGAGAGTAAAGGCAGCAACAGCAATGCTAGGAATCATCTTATACGATTCCTAATAGGTTTATAGTATCTTGTATGTGTATATATATGTGTCCCTATTGATGAATCAAATATAGAAAAAATATTTTCCCACATTAAATCTACAGCCCTCAACAAAGGCTAGTCCTTTCATCCTCTAACGGTAATCAGTTTGCTATTTTTTTATTTTATATTGTTTTTATTTGATTCAAATTAATTTTTGATTTGCTTTAGTTATTTTAGATTTTGGAGTCGCATGGACAAAAGCTTGAGCTTGAGCTTCTTGAAATTGCAAAAGATGAGATGTAGATTTCTCGCTAATAACACATAATGATTTTAATATAATTATTCTTAATTTTTTTGTATGATAACTGAGACTCCATAAGAGGCAGATGAGTTTATAATTGGGCTTCCTAAGTCTTCAAATAGAAAAGAAATCCCTCAATCCAACAAAGTTTGTAGTGTTGCTGGAAGACTTGCTGTTCGAGAGCGATAGAGAGAAAGGGAGTGATTTCATGATCTGGGCAAAGCCAAAAGGAAAGAACGATCATTGAAGATATTGATCTATTTGGGTTAAATCAAATTTGAAGCAAAACTGTGAGTTTTGGTTTCCTTGAGTTAAACTAACCCAAGGTCAAGTTATGGGTCCCACATTAAATATCATTTAGGTCTTTTTCATGGTTTGATTTTATAACAAGGGTGCTAATATATCTAAGTTTGAAAATGGGGATGCCCGAGGTACAAAGATATTTTAGGGTGATTTTGCAACAAGTGATATAGTTCAGAGAATTTTTGCAGTTTAAATCCCAAGAAGAGGACAAACATTAAAGGACAAAACCAATAACTTCCCAAACATCAAATTGTATCTGTGACTTTGGTTTTGAACCAAAGTAATTTAAAGTTAAGTTAATTTTTTTCATGAGGAAGGGTTTTTTTTCCCCAAACAAGGAAGAATCATATTAATGAGATGAGTTGAACAAGCATCAGAGAACAAAAAAGGTTCCTGAAGGATTTTCTTGCCTTTGATTTTCAAATGAAATCTGTAAAAAGAAAGCAGGGAATTTTTCACTTTCATCCACAAGGCCCAAAACAAGATCTCTGCTATTGTTGATTTCACCTAACACATTGAACTGCCTTTCTTTTTGTTGACTGGTTCCTGGATCGAACTGCCAGCTCAGCTTATTAACTGGCAATCCTGTCCCAACTAATAATTTTTTATAATTCAGGAAGGATATATGTGCAGTGCAGTGTCTCTATGGTTCTAACTCCACACACACACACATAGTAGAAAAGTCTCCATACCTGACGAGATATCTCAAGCTGAGATGTGTAAGCATTTGCCTGTTACAATTGAAAAAATAGTTTAAACTTCTTAGCATGCCATGGTGATTTCATATGCTTTCTATTTTCTGTTACAGTCAAAATATTTCACTATCTTACCAAAATGTTTGTATTTCCTGATTCATATTCAAATTCAAGCTTCTCATCATCACTCTGAGCATAGATAGATTGAAGGGTAAAACGGGTTACTGGGATCCCATTAGAACGATGGTGTTCATCCATTACAATCTGTAAAATGTGATCAAGGCAAAAGAATAAACAATTTTATACTCCATTATAACAACCTTGTTATGAATGAAAAGCATTAGAACTCATGCTTCTAACAATTACTTATGCATGTTAACACGCACTGAACAATGAAGAGAATTTCCATTAGTTCAATGCAGAGTATAAAGGCCAAACCCATTTCAATATCAGTAGCCTAAAACAAGTGTAAAGAAACGACATTACAAGCACTACAAAACGTAGATATATACCTTGTAACCAAACAGTTCGCAACAAGCCCTCCTAAAAACTGAAATTCTATCAGCAAAAACAGTCTTGTATCTGTTCATTGGATAAACTGAATGATTTAGTAGTATAATATTTATTAAAAAAACAATCACAGTTGAAAAATGCAACTGTTGCAATATTTTGATCAACGCCTTTCTTTGCATAAACAATCACCTTTCTTCACGCTTTTCAAGCGTTGCAATTTGTTCTTTTAGTTGAGTGATCTTCCCAGATATATAGGAGTCCACCAGCTTTCCAGCATCACCTGGACAAATGATACAATTAGAAAAGTGTTGAAGTCGGTATACCACTGAAAGTTAAGCTACAGAAACTTTAAAGCAACAAAATAATAACATAGAATTTGATTAGAAATTTTATTTTCATTAAGAAGCCTATACAGAGCCTGGAAGCAAAATGGTAAACTATATGGCTGCATCCTGCATCCCAACAACATATATGGTATGCAATTTTCAAAACTTGCAGTGAACTGATAAAGCAGAACAATAAAAGAAGAAATATAGTGCTTGGTGCACGCAAAAGATGTCAAGAGCAGGATAAATAGAGAAGCTCCACTGTATCAACTATACCTACTTGATTCGTTTTGGCCGTGAGACCTCTAATCGGAAAAGCTAAACTCCCCTCTCAAACATTCATATGATTTTTAGAGGGTATGAAGCCCATCAAACAGATAGATGTTAGAATTTCACTAAATATGAACTATTAGCTTAAATATGACCTGTTTAATGTTTATATATGGATAATACGATTCTGCATATGCTGTAAAGAGCCCTTAAAAATCTTAAACAGTAAACAGCAACAGCAAAATATTGAACATTACACCTAAATCATGCAAGTGTTAGAAAATTATTAGCAGCAATTCATTAAGCTTAACAGAAGAAGCCATTGGTCAAAGTTATCAGCAGGTGTGGTCAGGCATGATACTGAAGGAGCCTCCATTGAGATCCTTTTTTAACACAGATTCATTCATAGAAGTCACTTAGCAAGGGTTAAAGACAGAAGCATCAGAATTGAAGCCTCGGTAACACAGGCTTTTGTAGTACTATAACTTTTACAAGCCAACAGCTTACGGGTAAATAATAGATTTCGCCACAAAAGCAATAGAGAATGAAAAATATTGAACAGAGAGCCAAACTTGAGGGCAAAATAAATAAATTAGAAAAAAAAGAATTACAGCATGCCGGATACCTGACTGGCTCTTTAATTCTTCAACAGCCTGTAACTTCTCCTTTGTCTTCTGCAATTCAGTACGTAAAGCCTCTATAGTTTGTTTAGCATCATTGTCAACAGCAAGGGTATTCACCATCCTTAATACTTTTGTATTTGCAGCAGAATAGTCACCATGGCCTAGCTGTGAAGGAAAACAACAGTGATGTGAAGGACACAGTAACCTTAACAAATATTTTCTTGCCCCATCGAATCTCAATAACATAAAAAGTAGAAAGAGAACAATAAAAACATTAAAACAAGATGTTCACGTTTTCAAATGATACAACAGAAAAACCAACAGAACTTTTTGTCACTTAACCTGATTTTCATCTTTCTGATGCCCATAAACAAACCACATGAAATTAGCAATAATTTGAAATTATAAAGAGGTGAAGGTGGGGAAAGAGAGAGATTACACGTGACTAAAAGTATCATCTTTGATGGCAACGACTCATTTTACAAGAGTGCTAAATCCCCCCATGGGCACTCAAAAAATTACTCAATTATGTAGATGGAGTAATTTTTTCAAACAAGAGGAAAAATACATCCAGACAGAGTAACTATCAGAATAATGACCCTGACGCCACCACTCGAACTACCATCAGTTGGAAGGTAGACCCATAAGCTGGGTAGCTTACAGAAATATGGAAGCAGAAATAAAACCTTAGTTGAAGTTCAGGACCCATTCAGTTAGGCATTTGATTCACCGAACACAAAAGTCAACCATCAGCCCTCATGCAGTACAGAATCCTAATACAGCCTTAAACAAATTTCAGGCAGTATTACTAGGGGTTGTCGCTCAACAATTACTCTGGCAAGGATTCCTTGAGCATCAAACAGAGGGCAAGGATCAACTTCACCAATTACATAAAGCATCCTTAATCTAGTAAGCCATCCGAGTCCAAAACCTATCCTGTGTGGCTCCAAGTACAAAGTCCAAACCACAAAAAGTAAACCAAAAGCATTATTTATTTTTAAAAAAAAAAATTATTAGAGAACTATCTAGAAAAGAGAAGAAATTATAAATCAAACTGCATCCTAAAAATTAGCCAATACCAATAATTGTCCAAAATTAAGAGGAAGAAGCAATTCAAACAATATTAGTTTTTATACCATTCTTTTCAAGCTTCTTTTGGCACACGTAAATGATGCTTAACGTTATTAACAAGTTTAAAAGAAAAAACACAGACATCCAAACAACTGCTCATTCAAAGCAGAAACAAAGGGGGTCCTCTCATGTTTGTTATATTAAAGATATGTAAAATTAAAATTGCTTAAGAGATTGAGAAAGAAACTAATGGAAGATTTTCCTAACTGAACACGTCATCACTCATCAGTAATGACCACCCTCAGCAAAAAGAAACCACACTTCTTTGGTACCCTTTCGTACTGAAAAAGGGGATGGATGTCAAAGATTTCAGAACAGCTAGGACACATTCAAATTGATATCAGTGTATGTACAAAACAATGTGACAAAGCAAGTTCATCTATAGGAAAACTTTGCCAGAAAAATTAGACAATCCCCATGCTTCTTAATCTCAAATGAAACCACCCCCCCCCCCCCCCAATGGGCAAGATTTTTCCCATTAACTGAACCACGTCATTCCACTCGTATCGTAGTACATGACCCCACCCTCGCAAAAAGGAAAACCCACACTTCTGCGGTGACCCTTTCGTACTGAAAAAGCGGGCAGTGGAGTGGTTCAAAGAATTTCGAGAAACAGCCTAGGAGCACACTGCAAATTGACTATCAGTGGTATGCTACTAAAATCAATGTGACTAAAGCAGAAGTTCCATCTATAGTGAATAACTTTGCCAGAAAATTAGTCACAATTCCCCATGCGTTCTTGTAATTCTCAAATGAAACCACCCCCCCCCCCCCCCCAAAAACAGAAAAAAAAAAAAAAGAACCATCCCTTTTTCCTTCCCCGATCCAGAATTGTTCTACAGAACTTTGCTAAAGTTGAAGTTTAGGAGATAAGTACTTTAACGTAGCACAGTTAGTAATTCTTGACCAGAAACCAAGCAGTTTAAGTCGGCCAATGCCAACGATTGGCCAATCACTCAAAATGCATAAAAACATATTAGGCGATGCGCCCAGGTGCCGAACCTTACCTTGTCTCGACAAAATTCACAACTGGCCTTATCAATCGATTATCAATATGTTTTAAGTATGTCAGACGATAATCAAGAAGAATCAATTCAGTCGTCAAACTACTTTGAAGAAAAAGCGTAACTTTAGTTCTTCGAGCTCACCCTTAATTGTTTGCTAAGAGTTATTACACTGCCAAACACAACGTAGTGGAACTGCAGTAGAGACGGGATTGAAACGAAACAGGCTCATGAAGGAGATGGCTCCATGTCACGAACCACCTATGCTGGTGAATTGCCCAGTATTGCAAAAAAAAAAAAAAAAAAAAACATCCTTTTTCTCCCCATCAGAATTTCTACAGAACTTTGTAAGTAATTTAGGAGATAAGTACTTAACGAGCACAGTAGTAATTTTACAGAAACCAAGCATTTAAGTGCCAATGCCAAATTGCCAATCACCAAAATGATAAAACATATAGGGATGGCCAGTGCGAATTACCTTTCTCACAAATTCACAATGGTTTATCAATCGATATAATATGTTTAAGTATGTCAACATAAAAAAGAAAATTCAGTGTCAAACTACTTGAAGAAAAGCTAACTTATTCTTCAGCCACTTAATTGTTTGTAAGAGTTTATAACTGCCAACAAACAGTGAACTGCATAGAGAGGGATTGAAAGAAAAGGCTCATGAAGGAGATGGTCATGTAGAACCACTATGCTGTGAATTCAATGCCGAAGGTCAGAAGCCAGTGATTCTCAGAGTATCAGTAAACATACCTTGGACTCTAATAGAGAAATCTCTGAACGAAGCCGATCACTCTCCCGTTCCATTGACTTAATTCTTTTGGCTTCATTGTTCAGCCTGTCATTGAGCAGCTTTATTTCATCAAATTGATGATTATTCACTTCTTTTTGTTGTTGTAAATTACTCTGCAATTCTTTAATTAAACAATCCTTCTTTGCAAGAGATGATTCAAGCTCCTGCAAATAAAAAACAAAGTACAAATGACTGCCAGGAAAGATCAGAACACTTTTCAAGAGAAGAGAAAAAGAGGGAAGGGGGGAAAAAGGACCTGAAGCAGAGTTCCAGTGGCTGCTCCATCCCCTGCTTGTTCATTCTTTGACCTCCTCACTTCATTAACAATACTTTTCAACCTGTCTCGCTCTTCAGTAACAGCAGAAAGCTGCAATTCATCATCCATATTTGTAAAGAAAATATATACAAATTCTTGGAAATCAATATTAAGTAAAAAATATCATCATCTTAAATAGTTAAACAACAATGGAACAATGTTCCTCTACATTTATCACCCTGTATGAATGTAAACACCAGAGGGCTAACACAGAAAGCCCTTCTACAACACATAAAAAGCAAGAGGTGGAAAAAGAAAACAAAAATCACTATGCCAAGCATCAGAATGGTAATCTCAAAATCATAAAGAGTTAATATTTTAAAAAATAAGACTATCCAACTCCATGTACAGCTATAAAATGAAGAATCAGATTATCAGAACGAAGAGAAAATGGGAAAGCAGCTGCTAACACTTTTCCCCACAACTTCATCTCTCACGCTTACATTGATAATAGGTTGGACGAAAGTAGAAAGAGGCACAAAACATTAAGTACTAAGAAATGCCTCAGGGGAGGGGAAAGAAAAAACAAAGGATGAAGCACAAAAGTAATACAGAAGAAACAATCAGAGTTTAGTTCTCCAACTAACTCGAGTAACAAACTTGATATTCCTCTTAACACCATAGGAAAGATTAAGCCTTCTTAATCTTTGAACCAGATGCAGCTTCTGGTTGATAACAACTCCCCTAAAGGAGCTACTATTGCTCAAAAGTACTACAGAGAATAAAAGGAAACCCACTAAATTGGTAATATCTCCAATTTACAGATGACGCAGTAAAGTCAAATCAAAATCTATCAAAAGTAAGAAAATTGAGATTCCCTAAATATTGAAACTGACTAAACCAACACTTACCATCATTTCTATCCTATTGAGCTCCAGTTTCAAGCTTTCTGCCTTCTCCTTGGACAATGCCACCTCAGTTTCAGCAATTTGTTTGCCAAGTTGGGCAGCGTCCAGAGCCACCTCCATTTGTTTCAAACGTCCATTTGCCTCACCTACCTTCATCATGTTATCAATTACTTCTCTGCATTGAACAGAAATCTCAATGTTGGAGAAGAACTAAAATGAGTAAAGAAAATTAATCATTCAAGCTTTTCCTGTAAACTTAAGCAATTTTTAACTTCCCAATAATAGAGAAATTGATGTGTAGCTTTGAGAGCTTATACCATATGTTATTCAAAGAAAAAAGCATATTCCACCAAAAAGCATCTAGCTTTACCAAGAATAACTGGCACTAGAAAATTTCAACCTTTGTCATTGAATTTATCAGTTAATTTCAGAGTGGTCACTAAGTTTCAATTTCTAGCAATTAAATCAGTTTGCTTCATTTTGTTTCAATTAGACTACTATTGCCAAATTTTTATAGAGTTTAATAAAGCTTGTTTTTTTTTGGTTGACTAACTAAGAAAAGTAGATGTCTATTTTTAATTGTAAAGCTAGATTAGAAAATCTTTACTTGATTACAAGGGAAAAAATCTAGCATTATACTAAAATATAAAAATGGTGACCTCATCAAAACAGCCTTTTAATGATGAAGCCATGCTAGTATCAACTTAAGGTTAGCCACATACTTCTGTAAAGCAGCAAACTTAACAGGTATATCATCACAACATGACACATCAGGGATGTCTTTAATCATCAACTTCCAAGAAGACAACTCATCCTCCAACTTCATCATATTTAGCTCAAATTCCTTCAATTTGGATAACTCTGACTCTGCCCTCTCTCTGCGGGCTTTCTCTTCCAATAATTTCTCCTTCAATAGCTCAATGTTTTCACAAGATGATTTCAATTTTCTTGCTTCTCTCACTTCAGCCTCCTGATCATATGTCAAAGTAAACATATCATATAACTATAAGAGATCCGATTTCATGTAATAACACAAAAGTTCGAAAAATAATGAACATAAAGGATGTGAAATAAATCAACAACCAAAATTAGAACTGGTTGGTTGCCCAACAGATATTGATATTCAAGATCCCACCAGAATGCAACATCCCATGCATCTTGCAATATGATTTATAATTTCATGTATAACTCCTATTATAATAATTTACTAGAAAAACATACCCTGAGGCCCCTAAATTTATCAAGTTTTGGCTATTAACCCCATCGAAAACTATTTGTCCATATTGAGCCCTCAAACTGTTATTTCCAATGATGTTGAGGGTTGATTTCACACCTGTCATAAGCGGCTCAATTAGCCGTTAAATTTTTGCTGTATCAGAATATAAAAACTATTAGTAATTAGTTGGGTTTTACCTTAGAATTTGGTGTTCTTTTTTTCTTTAAATATTTTCATCGACAGCAATTGAAGTCAAGGATTCCTATTTTCACCAACAACATTTGAAGGAGGGAGAAAGAGATGCAGATTACTGTTAACAACTAAAGCAAAGGCATATTACTGTTTAAGAGATTGGTCCAAAGAGAATGGTTCAGCCCATCTTCATCTCCAGCACCAAGTATCACCAACTAACATGATATATCACGAACAAAAGCTTGTCCACCAAATGGCTGTAGTCGAGCAGCTGACTCATATCTTCGCTGCCAACCAAATCTTCTGTCTTTGCCTCTCTTTAACACTCCACCTTTCCATTCTTTCACTATCCTTCTAGAAGTTTCCTCTAACCCTCTGCCTAAAATCATTTCCTATTTTCCTCTATTTTCATGTCTATTGATTGTATAATCCAACTTGATCATCGGATTAATGATCCAGAAAGCGTTGTGGTTGCTGGATCTGTTCTGCTAATTACTCAAATTTTTTAGGCAAGCCAAGGTTTTGTGTGGAGCATCTGTTTGTTAGAGTGTGTTATAGGAAGAAATGGATGGGGCAGTTGTTGCTGTCTATAGTAGCGGCATAGGCAGTGAAAATGGGAATGGGTTGTGCTTAATTGGAATGTTAATGTTATTTAAGTTTTATGAAGAAATAGGGGCTAAGGTTTTACCTGAGAAGAGGATTTGTAAATTGACGAGTGAGAATTTCTAGGCTTATCATGATACTATTTAAGGGTTTTGCCACTGTGGCCAGTGTTTAGTGTTAGGGTTTTTTGGGACTGAAAATGATTTAATTATTAAGTTAATATTGAAGAAGAAAAGGAAAAAGAATTAGATTGTGAGATTTTTTATTATTTGTAGCTTTTGACGTTAGGTTTCTGTTTTTCAAGTGTTTTAAGTAATAATTGCCCTTTTCAGATTTATGAAATTATATTTACTTTAGATGAGTTAAGTTAATTTAAAAAGAAAAGTAATTTAGCTTTTTTTTGTTTTTTAGGTTTCAATGTGAAAATTCTCTTTGCTCAATGTCATTTGTTCAAGTACATATCTTTTCATTTCTTCACACAACATAACCATGCATGTTATACATGTTGTTTAACAGCTGTTAAATCAGTCCTCAATGTTACTGAAATTAATAGTTCAAGGGTCAATGTAGACAAATAGTTCTCAGGGGCTTAATAGCCAAAACTTGATGGTCAAAGGCTTCAAGATATGTTATTTCTATTTTAACCCATATGCCAATTATGCATCCAACATTGGCCCTTTAGAGATTGATATATACCGAAATCCAATGTCAAAGAGCTTTTTTGTGGTGTGCTTAAAGACATTACTGTAGACAATTTGCAAAGCGCATTCTCTTATCATTGCAACCCAGGCCTTATTTCATACTTCACGCACTACAGACTTTTCCAAGTATATGCCAAAAAAGCTGATTGTAGTTTTATCAACTGCCAAAGGTACTATGAGGCAGAAATTTAAACATTCAGCAGTCAACCATAGCATACATATAAGAGGGCATAAGTTGTAGCAGATAAGTAAATGTGCAACTGGAAGCTAAACTTTACTATTGAAAAGTTAAAGAGAAAATTATTAGCATCAAATAGCATTGCTTCACTGTGAATAAATATCAGAAACAATTTTTCATATCATAGTGTTCATCAAGCTCCCAAATGAATAACCTTTTTAAAAACCAGATCAAACCATAATATTTCAATTAAGTTACATTTAGTTTCTCTAGTTAAATCCTTCTGTTTGGTCTAAACTACAAACAGCAATATCTAGTTTAGTTTGAAAACTTCTTGAAACTTCTCCAGAATCAGACTATGCATTACCTTAGTGCAAAGTCAACAAAGTGCCAAAAATTCACTAAATCATACAAGAACAGTAGAGGACAACAACAGCAAGACAGCTCTAGTCTGTACCTTTTGTAATCCGAGTGTGCACATGTAACATTATGTATATAAATTAAAGGACAAAAAGTATTAGACAAGAGAAGTAACAAATGGAAGTAAAAACTTACATAGTTCCTGAGTTCTTCCTGTAGATGTTTAACCAAAATATTGTTGTCAGTAGAAGAACTTTCTTGAATTGTGAAACTTGATAATTTCTTCTCTAGTTCACTCTTCTGGTGCAAGCACTGGATGAAAAATCAGAAGCATTTAATGAGAAACCGATTAAGTCTTCATTTCTGTCATAAGCAAAATATTACAGATTCATGATTTGCACCAAGCAAGTTCCAGTACCAACTAGAAATAGCCATTAATGTTAAAGCTTCACAAGCACATGTGAACTCATCCATGTTTGAAATATAAACTTATTTACCAATACTGCTTCAAGAGGACAATTGAAAAAACAGGGGGAAAGGAATCAAAGCTTTAAAACAAAAAATACATGTATAAAAAGCACCTCACTCATTTGCAACTTCAGATTTTCCAGCTGCTCCTTTAGCAGCTCTGATTCTTCTTCAGCACTTTTAGCTCTGGATTCCATTCTTTCAAGCTACATAGAATAGATACAAATCCACTAGCTAACAAACATGGAGGCTTACACATGAATTATTGTAAAGAATGCACGAGTTCAGCTTACATCTGCAGTTATCCTGGCAATAGAAAACTTTGAATCTCTTTGTAGCTGTGCCAGCTCATTATTGAAGCGCTTTTTCTCCCTTTCTATGCTTTCAGAAAGGTGGGCAAGTTTCCCCTCCAAAAGACTTGCTTTCTCTTCTGCAGAAGCTGCTGAGGATTCAGCTTTTTTTCGAAGGTTCTTCTCATTTTCCAGCTTCACCTAAGAATAAATGGAAGCACAAGAAAGTCAAATTGCTAAACATATTACAGCATAGCAAAAAGAAAACAAATACCCAGGTAAAAGAAAGAAAACATATTATCCATTTCTTTAGCAATAGCTCTACCTCAAGTTTATTACATGATTCTAATTGTTTCTTAAACCTCTCCTGAGAATCATCTATCTCCTTTAAAAGTTGTTGCTGCAGTGCCTGTTCGCGTCCTTTGGCAGCAGCAAGTTCTTGTTCAGCATATAAGAATTGATCTAGAAATTTTTTCCTCTCAGCTTCTGCAAGGATTAGGAATAATTTGAGCAATACAGATATCAGCTAATACTAATAGCACTTATTATAATAAATTCAAAAGCAATCACGTGTGCAAGCCAAAAATGCCATGACCGGATTCAACAGTAATAACCATGAACTTATATCACTCAAGTTACCACTAGTGGTCACAGGATTGCAAAAATGATAACACATAAGTATGAAATAATACATACCATTCCTAAAAGCTAAATAATAATTAGATTCGTCTTACCATGGTTACCGTAAAACGAACAATGGAAATCTCTGAGACATAATTAAAGTGACAAATTCAAATTTTTAAATGACGATTATGAAAATAGAATTTTAGCTCACATGTACTTTTGCTGTCTGTCTCTAAATTCATTTGGCGTTCAAGGTGAGGGGAAAAATATCAAAATATTTGCTCTCAATATTGGAATTTTAGGGGAACATAAAACAATTTAAAATCAACAAAATCAACAAAAAGAGATATTTACATCAAACCTAAGCCAAAAGCATAAAAAAAAATATATACTGAAATTTTGTAGACAAGCAGATGTTGAACCCAGGACAAATTTTAAGATATAACTCAGGACTATCATCTTCTTGTAACCCACCAGATTTGCAGAAGTTCTCATTTAAAGTCTCCAATTTGGACTGATAATCACGAACTTGTTTCTCTGCATTGCTCAAGGCATCCAGAAAATCTGCTTTAACCTACAATTATGTTTAATAAGATGAAAAGTTCTCTCTCATAAATAACATAGAAAAGTAAATGAATAGATTCATGCATTAAGGTTTACAAGAACAACAAGAGTGCCATGGTACCAATAAAATCATGTATTGGAACTGGAAACCAGAAAAATCAATCTACTCCAATGCAATTCTTATATGGACACCATTAACGCTATTACAAAAGCTACAAGATGTTAGCCATGGTGTCCATCCCTACAGAAAATCCTGATTTCCAGTTCACTGCAGTCCCAAAGCTGTGGATCAGAACTTCAAATATCCAGCAATCAGGAAGCAAGAGGATGCTCAAAATTAAGTTCCAAAGGTTTCCCTAAACTAAGGCTCGGAAGGATGCTCTACACTACGTTCACATAAGAGTAAAGAAACAATCAAGGTGTCTATCTATACACACACAAAAAAAAGAATCATAGCAAGTATAAAGCACAACCTTCTTCGTTTTATGGTCCTTAAAAATTAAATGGGTTTTATATAGCAATGGTCAAGGTTTAAATTGGAATTGAATTAGAGAAAAAAGAGGTTGATTGGGATGACATTGGATCATTCAAACTCTAAACATTAACAAGAGGCCAAACTAATGATTCCTATTTCAAACCTCAATCTCAAAGTATCTTCAGAGCCTTATACTGATTATAATTTACCACTTATCCTTTTTTACCTCTAATTGATAAATGACAAAACCTTTAACGAGAGAAAACCCCAAAAATCCTCGTGTAGCAGGTGAAACTTAATTTAATGGCCAGTCCTTGAAATCCTAGTTAGTTTTACCAACATCAGAATATTCCTTCTGAATTATCTGTCTCCAATTACCCTAATGTATCAACCTTTTTAGTCATTTCAAGTAATATGTAAAAAAGATACATGAAGAGCTAAATGTAGCAATGTAAATTCAAATTTGTCCAATTCAAAAACATAAAGCGCAAAGCGTACCATTTGGCGACATTGATAGGTGCAGAGCATGTGATCGGACGGTTGAGGTTCGTGAGAGGACTCTGGTTGCTGGACCACAACAGGAGGGTCTTCGTAAATGACAAGTCGCCGATCAGAACCAACCGGTGAGCTTTCGATGGCTTTGCCATCATCTCTAGGTCTCTTTGGTGGTGGAGTTCTTAGAATCATCCTTTCTCTCTAGAAATTGCTAGGGTTTCAGTTGCTCTTTGAAAACAGCTCTATCTCTCTCACTATTTGATGGTGGGGCAAGTCAATTGGATTTAATTTGAAAGCAGAGGCGCCATTTCTGGAAACGACTTGATCGATTTAGAAATGGAATAAAAGCTCTAAACTTGTTTAAAAATATGTAAAACGTTTTGACGTTTTGGGACGATAGAGTCTTTAAACCTCTATTCGATATAAATGAATTGAAATGATAGAATTCATTTATAGATTAATTTTTCATGTTTGAAATAAATTTAAAATTTATTTATGTTTGTTTTATAAAATATCTTTAAATATAATAATTTAAAAAAAATTAAAAGATGGATAATTTTATTATAAAATTTTGGATCGTTTAAATTTATAGAATTCATTTATAAATTTCACTTTTTTTCATAAAAAGAATAAATTTAGATAATTGAATTCATATGGTTTAATTTTTCATTTTCTTTCATATCAAATACAAAAATTTAAATAAATGATTAATGGAGCTGCTTAGAGGCATTTGGAGTTTGTGTTGTGGATGATTAAAATTTGCTGAATGATCAACCTCGCAAATACATTTTACTAATGAGCTACCCTCATTCGGATTATTGTATTTTTTTCATTATTTTATATTTAATTAGTGTTTTAATAAATTCCAAATTGAAAGAACAGCGAAGAATTAGGCAGTAAAGTTGGCTTAAAAGGGCAATGACTGTAAAAAATGGGATTCGTAGACAAGGATCAAGTTGTCTACTGTAAAAAATTGGGAGCAAAATAACTTTTTTCAAAATGGTAATTTTTTTGGTATTGTAAAAATTAATGATAATTACGTAGAACCTAGCGCGTCTGCCTTGTATTATACACACATCGGTAGAGTTCAAAGGTGGGAAAGGGAATCAAGATTCAATTTATAATTTACCCTGTAGGTGTTTTTTTTGTACACTTATTTCTCTTCTTCCTCTAAAACTTTACTTATTTTTTGTATAAACTTATTCTTAAGAAAATGAATATATGTTTTTTTAATTTTATGACAATTAAGGATTTAATGACTTGAAAAATGGTTAAGCACGCGGTAGCAACGGATCTGGAAAAAATATACGGAACAGATTTGTTGATTCAGGCATGTGTGCATAGGATAAATATTAAACATACTTTATCCCTAGTATAGATATTGCAAAATTAGAGATTTAAACTGTGACATTTTTTTTTTCTATAAGCTTATTTGATGTAAATGGTTTTCACAAAATTGTTATAGAGACATGTATTAGCTAATTTCATCATTTTAAATTATAGATAACTATTATTTAGTATAAGGATACATTAAAAAAAGAATCAAGTAAAATCTCTTACTTCTTCTTTATTATTATCATTTTTAATTTTTCTCCATCAAAACACAGAATTAAGCGATGTAAATATAGAGGAGAGATGCTTATTGTCTCTTATGACAATCCATTTTTTATTTTTCTCATTTTTTGCAGATTGGTGAAAGTGAATACCGCAATAATAGAGGAGAACAGAGAGAAAAGAGAAAACACATCAGAAATTTCTAGCTTTTAATTCAAATAGGGATATTTTATTTTTTTAGTACAAACTAATAGCAAAAATCCTAAAAAATGAACGTATTGAATAAAGGATTAGATGATGATAAAATTCAGATATGTAATTATATATTTTGAAAAAAAAGTAAGGATTAGATACTATATTTGACCGTTATATTCAGAACTAATAGAAAAATTTCCTTAAATTAAAGCCATTACAATCTTTGTATCCAAAAAAAATCTATCAACTTTGTCTGACTAATAAGTCTAAGTTTAAGTATATTTATTGAGTTTGCTTAATAAATTCATCGAGCTCAATTTCAAATATTTCAAAGGCTTTTTTTTTTAAATCATAAATTATATATAAGTTGAGCTCGAGTTTGAGATTAACTTTTTTAACCTCAAACTCAAGCTCTTCACTATATTTTTATTGAGCTGAGCTTAGCTCAACATGACTCGATTCATTTGGATTTAGATTAGTAGATTAAAAAATAGAATTATCTTTTTGATGAAAAAATTGGAGGGTAAATAAGTACTCTCAAAGCAAACAAAAACAACTTGCCTATAATTAATAAAATGCTAATAATAAATTAGTGCATGTGATGTGAGTATGTCATTACATTCCCCCTAGCCAAATTCCTTGAGTTGCCAAATATTATGGAACAACGAGATCTAAATACATGGGCATAATTGTCCTTTCATAGTACCAAAATTATGGACAAAGACAAACAGTAATGTGAAAGTAAAACAAGATGAGAGACTTAAATTAATCAAATAATTTAAGACAAAGAATATATAATTAGAAAGTTTAAATTAAATCTTGGAGACAAGGCAGAGGAGATGTAGGGAATCCGGGGCACTGTTTAGGTTCACAATTAAAAAATATTAAAAATTTTGAAAAATTAAAAATATGTAAAGACAATAATACCCCTCAACTTTCCTTTGGTGTTCACCAAGAGTCAAGTCTATCCTGCCTTGACATACAAAAACCAGAATATATATGTATTTATCAGACACATTAAATATTAATTAAAAAAAAAAGAAAAAGAAAAAGACCACAGAAAAGAGACTGTGTAAGAGAGGAACAGAAAAGAGAAGCCAAAGCCTAGTCGTGTCGGCTTCGACCGAACATTGACGACTTATGCACTTTCTATATATGTAAAGAGAGAGAGAGAGAGAGAGAAATATATTACTACTGTTTTTATGTGTGTTTCGATCCAGTTGATATTTATCTGTTGAAGCCCTAACCATTGTAGCTGTTGCTGTTTTTGGATCGCACTGATTCGGAGAGTTGAAGAACAGGTAGGTCTATTTCGTTGTTGTTGTTGCTGCTGCTGCTCTTGTTTATGATTGATGAGATTATGAAGAAAAATGAGTGTTCATATGATCGTTAATGAGGGAAAGGAGTAATTTTTTGTTTTTGGTTAAATCAGATCCCTAAGTTGTTTTTAGCATTTTTATATTTGGTTTTTGCATGCTTTTTAGCAATCAAGATAGTAAATTAGTGTGTTTTTGCTATATGGGTATTTTGAATCATGTTGGTTTTAGTGCGTGATCATCGATTTATTTGGTTTATTTGATTGAAATTAGTGATTTGATTTTTGTTTTAAGTTCGTCCTTATGTAGGAGCTGAAATGCTTGTAAAAAGTAAAGAAAAGACGGATTTTGCGCTCGAAAAAGTGTTAAGGGCAATTTGAACTCGTGAAAGGTCCTTGCTTTTCTTGTAAAATTGGGAGTTAAAGGTTTACAATATATATATATAAAAAAAAAGCTGACTGTTTTAGCAGCATTTAAGGCAAAAAGCTGAGAGCTCTTCACTACTGACAGTGGTGAGCAATTAAGGAGTTTTGATTATATAATAGCAGGAACAACCTGTATAAGCATTAAGTATAGTAAATGCATTATGCATTTATCATTAACGGGTTTGCTCTGGTTTGGTGGAAAAATTGATTGCAATTGTCATTAACGTGGTTAATTTAACATTTAACTACAGCGTCAACTTAGTGTTAGTTTTGTGGGATCAATGATTGCAAGTTTATTATGCTGTTAACTTAACTACAAATTTCTTGTTTCAATAGATCGATTTTGCTGCTCTTTGGGGAATTTGTGTGGTTTTGCTATGGCATACACAAGTGCCAATCATATGCCTGTTGGAAATCTTCACACAGGTTTGAGCTTATTGCATTTTTTTCCTCATGTTCTGAGTAATCGTGTCGTTTGTGACAAAATGGCAAAAAGATGTGAGAGGAAGGCCGTATATGTGCTAATTTATAATTGACAAAGTAATTTACTGTTAAAATTGGTGTGTTAATTTCAGTATGGAATTCAGAGTTTGCAGTGGTCGTTGATGCATTGATGTTGAAGTCAAGTAAATATATGCATTTTTTCTCCAGCTTCCTTGAATCAAGTAAATTCAGTTAGTCATTTGCAATAATTAGGAGGTTGACGTATGACACTAGGTTAAAGCTCCCTAATGCTGTTGTTTGATCTTTGTTTATGTTTGTATGTGTTTTTATGTATATGATTGAGGTTTATTACATTTGTTAGAAAAATTAGTGTTTTGGTTGGAGAACTTTTATGGCAGACCAACATTTGAAAGGACTTTTAATTGGCCTTTTGAGGCATTTTACGGTTTTTGGGAATGGGAATCTTTCTTGTAAAAGGAATGCTGCTTCTGATCAACACACAAAAAACTTTTATATTATCTTCTGTTTTGAGGATCTTTACTGCTTCATCAGTTCAGCATATACTTTTCATGAAACTTTGGAGAATTTCTGGTAGATGTATGGTTGCATAACTACCAACTAAGAATGTACTTTCAGATCATCTCTGGCAACAATGATGTTTTACAGTTGCACCAAAGCAACTTAAAATCATTGTGAATTTTGGGGAATTTTGCATGGTTTTGCTGTCGTTCTACTTTGATGTAAATTAGCATATGAGTGTGACTACGGATAGTAAATTTTTGCAGTGCATAATAGATAAGAATTCCAATGAAATCAGCAGACTTTTTTAACAACAGATTTCTAATGATTATTTACTTGCATCTATGAAAGTGCTCTCATGCTTACCTGTTTGATCTTATATGTTTTTGCTTCTATTTACGGAATTGTTAACTTTTCAACATTCTTGGATTCAGTTCTGATATCGTTTTTTGAATATGTAAGGCCATGTCCTTTTCTTTCCCTCCTATATGCACTTTTTTTCTCATTTTATGAAATAAAATTCTGTTTTTAATAGGGGGATGCAATGATGCTTTGTATAAAGAACTATGGCATGCTTGTGCTGGACCTCTTGTCAACCTTCCTCGTGAAGGGGAGCGAGTTTATTATTTTCCACAAGGTCACATGGAGCAGGTATTTTGAATTTAGCAGAGATTGGAGTATGATACCTTTATTGCTTTCCTCAATGTCTTAGATATGCCTTGAGGTTTTGTTGGAATTATTTTGTCTACATGTTATTTTGCATTGTCCTTTTCTGTTGCCTTACAGATTTTTTTTTTCATCTTCTTTATATATAGCTTGAAGCTTCAATGCATCAAGGATTGGAGCAGCATATGCCCTCATTCAATCTTCCATCTAAAATTCTTTGTAAAGTGGTCAATGTTCAGCGTAGGGTGGGTTGCATTATGATAATTGCAATCTTTGCTTCGGTCTTTTGATGCAGCTTAATCTTTCTTCTTTGTTACACCTGATATTTGGCAATCTTTTGCAGTTCCAATTATTTTCATTTTTCTTTGTTTATTGCAGGCTGAACCTGAAACAGATGAAGTTTATGCTCAAGTTACACTCCTTCCTGATCCAGATGTAAGCTCTATATATTCCAAATTTAAGAAATAAGTAATTTCTGTTGAAAATGATTTTACATCTGTTTTTTGTTCGAATTTTTGATAATTAGTAGTAAGAATAAAAAGTTTCAGTTGATGCAAGGTCTTCAAATGCATTTCATTTTTATTTTCTGCTGCATTGATCTTATTTTTATTCCTCCTTAAACCAGCAAAATGAGGTTACTAGCCCTGATCCTCCACTCCCAGAACCCGAAAGATGCACAGTTCATTCATTTTGTAAGACGCTTACTGCTTCTGACACAAGCACTCATGGTGGTTTCTCTGTTCTACGAAGGCATGCAGATGATTGTCTGCCTCCTCTGGTTTGGACCTTGGCATTAAATTAACTATGCCCTTCTAATTTTGCAGAGTAAAGTTATTTGTTTTCCTGTTGACATGCTTTTTTCTTTTTTGTGTAGGATATGTCCCAACAGCCACCTTGGCAGGAACTGGTTGCTTCTGATTTGCATGGCAATGAATGGCATTTCCGACACATTTTTCGGGGTTAGCAAATGTTTCTCTCTCTTGTTTTTCCCCCTTAAAAAAATGATTCTAGATGGCTATTGCTGAAGATAGCATGCGGTTGCTTTTATTACACTGCATGTATTTGTATATTACTCTTTTTCTCTAGTGTTATTCTTCTACAGTTCATGCCAACCTAAAAATTTGTCTCATGTCATTCCATGCTCATTGATGTTGGATATTTGAACTAAATAAACTTTCAGAAAACAAAGTGCATATGAAGTTATTTGGTAGCTTATGGTTGGTGCCTACTATATTACTTAGGAATCACAATCACTGCATGTATATGGGCGTGTATTTTATGATTTGCAATCCCACATTCTTGAGCCTCTCGATGGTGAGATATCATAACTACAGTAGTAACCACTCGTGATGGAATTAGGTCATGACCTGTTCATGGATCAGATAGAAGCTCCCCATCCCCTATACTTTTTTTCCCTCTCCAATATTGTATATGGCTTTAGACAATTGCCTCTCATATTCCAGTATCATTCGACGATAATAGCAGTTTTTTGCAATTAGTTTTGAAAGCAATGTGAAGAGGTTTATATGGCTGAAAGAAATAATGTTTCGTGTATCCTTTGATACGTGTGGTAAAACTTGCAAGATGATAACATTGTCTTAATTGTTGGGACATTGATCAAAACATCAATTGCAGGTCAACCTAGACGCCACTTGCTCACAACTGGGTGGAGTGTCTTTGTTAGTTCAAAAAAGTTAGTGGCAGGCGATGCATTCATCTTCTTGAGGCAAGTGATCATACATTATTATTTTTTGTTGGAGTTAATGTTGTTAAAAGCATACCTAGGCCTGAGGCTCACCCAGGCGTAGTGTCTGTGTCTCAACTACATTGAAGTGGATCCAATCTGACCAGGGGCGCCTAGGCTGGCCTGGCCCTGATGCGCAAGCTTGGTCTTAGGCATGCCTCTATTATTTTTTTCTCCCTTACTGTCCTAACTAATTTGTGGAATGATTTTCCTAAATCTACAGTTCTTAGTTGATCTTGATTGTTGATTAGATTTAAGAAGTATAAATCATTTAAGATTTGATGCACTAATTTAATTTCAAATTACTCGACTTAAACAATTACTTTTGTTGCATTTTTTTTTTTTTTAAATTGATGACATTAAGTAGTATTTTTGTTTTTCTTGTCGTTATATTTATGTCAAAAATTCTTGTTTTCAGAATTTCTAACAAAGTTCTGACTTTTGTTTGTGATGCTTAAACAGTGATTGCTAAAATATAAAGGGGTTTGATTTGCCAATTATTTGATATTTGTTTATTTTGTATATTATTGAATTCCATATTTTTAGATGATGTGTAATTAGTATCTATTTGATATCTTATTATTTAACTACAATATATATATATATATATATATGCCTTGTGTCCGCTAGGCGACGACATGGCTTTGTACCTGCCATAGTGTGCATTGGGTATTTGCAACACTAGTTGCAGTGACTTTCTTGCTAAACATTGTAAAACTTTGTTGATTGATTGATGTACCTCGTAAAGGGGAGAAAATGGGGAGCTTCGTGTTGGAGTAAGGAGGCTTATGAGACAACAGACAAATATGCCATCTTCTGTCATCTCTAGCCAAAGCATGCATCTTGGTGTTCTTGCCACTGCTTCTCATGCTATTGCAACTGGAACCCTTTTTTCTGTCTTCTACAAGCCAAGGTTTTGTGCTCTTTATTATATTTCTTGTATGATGCTATTCCTTTATTTGTTTGTTGTACGTTTAGTATTAGTTAGTTAAATTTGCTAAATAAGCATTTCATTTCAGAACCAGCCGGTCTGAGTTCATTGTAAGCGTCAACAAGTATCTTGAAGCTCGAAACCACAAACTCTCTGTTGGGATGAGGTTTAAGATGAGATTTGAGGGTGAGGAAGTTCCTGAAAGAAGGTATCATCTGGTTCCGGATTGTCTTTGGCAATAGATGTCAATGACATTATTTTGAATTGTCAGTTTCTATTGATTTGCAGGTTTAGTGGCACTATTGTTGGTGTTGGAGATAATATATCATCTGGATGGGTTGATTCTGAGTGGAGATCCTTAAAGGTTGACAAATTTTCTTGCTTGTATTTCTGCATTTGTTGTATTGTTTATGTTATCTGAATGTTTAGACATCATCTTCATTTCCTATTCCCAAGAATAATTATTTTCATATTTTACTTTCAACTTCATCTTGGTCTTTGTTTTGATTAGACATGTTATCCTTCCTGTTTTCAAGTTATACTATTATATCTGTGCTTCTCTTCACTTGTGGCTTTTATTTTATTCTCTGCCAGGTTCAATGGGATGAACCTTCCTCAATCTTGCGTCCAGATAGAGTATCACCATGGGAGTTGGAGCCACTTATTGCAACTACTCCTTCAAACTCTCAACCTGTCCAAAGGAACAAGCGGGCACGACCATCTGTTCTACCTTCACCAACATCAGATCTACCTGCATTTGGTATGGCTGCTTTCCCTTTAGTATTTCCTCATTCCTTTGGTTTGTGTTGGTTTTTAATGATAAACCTGATGGTATCTCTGTGCCGTAGGTATGTGGAAACCCCCAGCTGAATCTTCTGGTTTTTCATATGGGGACTCTCAATGTGGACGAGATCTTCATACATCAAATAATTTCAGTACTGTTACAAGGGCCAACTCTATTGGCTTTAGTGGCAATTCTCCACACACTGGTTTTTCCCCCAACTCAATGTATTGGCCTAAAAGGGTGGAAAGTGTTACATATTCTTTTGCCCCAGCTGTTAACAAAGATTCTGGAGAAAGAAGACAAGGCACTGGAAACGGTTATAGGCTCTTCGGGATTCAACTTATTGACAACTCCAATGCCGAAGAAACTTCACCATTGGTTGCTGCATCTGGAATGGTAGGGGATGATCGCCCTGTTGTATCTTTGGATGCTGAATCTGATCAGCATTCTGAGCCATCAAATGTTTGTCGATCTGAAATCCCTTCAGTAAGTTGTGAGCCTGAGAAATCATGCCTGAGATCTCCTCAGGAGTTGCAAAGCAGGCAAATCAGAAGCTGCACGAAGGTAATGTGAATATTTTATAAGAATTTTCAATCTCTCCTATGGTCCGTTTAGTTCTTCCATTCTCTCTCTCTCTCTCTCTCTCTTTCTGTGCAAATGCAGTTAAATGCTTTGACAATTTTTCTTAAAATTATGCCAGATCTGAATGCTTGATGGTCTATGCATCTTTCTAGGTTCACATGCAAGGAATTGCTGTTGGTAGAGCTGTTGATTTGACGCGGTTTGAATGCTATGAGGACTTGCTGAGGAAACTGGAGGATATGTTTGATATTGAAGGTGAGCTCAGTGGATCCACAAAGAAATGGCAAGTTGTCTACACTGACGATGAAGATGACATGATGATGGTTGGGGATGATCCATGGCAGTAAGTTACTTTGACTGTTCTAATGCATTGTTCTGGAAAATTTAAGCTATTTTATGTGCTTTATTTTATTGATAACTTTTATCTTTTGACTGCAGTGAATTCTGCAGCATGGTTAGGAAAATTTTCATCTATACGACAGAGGAAGTCAAGAGATTATCACCCAAGATTAAATTTCCAGTCAATGAAGAGGGTAAAGCAGCCAAAGCTGATGTTGATACTGATGGAGCAGTTACCATGGAGGACCAATCTTCTATTGTTGGGCCTGGGTGCTAATAATCCCAAGCTATGTTAATGAATGGTTGTTAAGAGATAAGAAAAGGGAATGGAGAAGCAGTAAAAAGGAAAAAAAGAATAGAGCATTTGGTCAATGTCTTGTTTATAGTGATGTACATGGAATAACCAGTGACACTTCCAGACATGCAGCACTAAATTACTGGTGAGGTGGTCGGCAGCTGTTTGCGGAACACGTCCTTTATGGAAAGTGAGACTTTTCATCTTTTTGAAAATAGGTTTTGGGGTTTTACTTTGTATTATTTTGCCAAGGGAATCTTATATTGCTTGCTTGTTTGGATACAAGTAAGCTGAAAAGTTTGTCCTTTCCACCTCTTCTGCCCAGCAAATGAAGAATGAAGATGTGATCTCTCTCTCTCTCTCTCTTTCTTTTTTCCTGTTTTGAATGTTTTATTTTTTTATTTTCACATTGGCGCGATATTGCGTTTTGTATATAAATTATATATAGCTTTCTTATCACTTGCTTTCCAGTGCATGCTTATCTTTATCATTCTCGAGAAGATGCTATATTGGATTGGCCTTTCAAATATTTTCTACCACAAGAATTTTCTGCAGTATAATGATTGCTGAATGGTGCCAGGTTTTTTTGTTCACACAGGAACATCAAGTTCTTACAATTTGAGGAACTTACTCCATCAAGAACATCCAGTTTCTCTGTTATGTCAAATCATGCTAGATACCGTTTTCTTGCCTCAACTAAAGGACAAAAAACTGTTATACTATATTTTGTAAATGTGATTGTGTTCAAACTGCCTGTTTGATAATATATAAATATATATATACTATATATATATTTATAATATATATTATCATTTGTCAGTTTTAGATGCTCTAAAGTTCGTAAACTTATAGTAGTTCAATGCCCAATTCTTTTCTTTTTTTAACCATAGAAAAGTAGGGACTTAGTTGTGTCTTCATTCAATCTGGGTTTTATTTTTTATTTATTTAAGGGTTGAATATTATTTAATTTGTTTCTATTTTCAAATAATAAATTTAATTATACTTCAATATACAGACCTGAGCTTGTTTATAGTACGTTAGCTCATTGCAAAGTGTAACAACATGATAAAAAATGCAAGCCTTAAAATAGGAAAGAGAAATGTAACGGCTCTAATTCCAAGCTTCTTGCACTTCCTCCTTTTAAAAAGGTAGCATGCGTAACTATGGCCAACCGTCACATGGTTGAAAATTCTTGAAACTAGAAAGTTGAAGCTTACAAAAGATTGTGGAACGCCCAATGGTAGTTTAATACACGTTAGTTTATTTAATGCAGTTTATATTTAGCTCTTTACCATTGCCAATCATTAACCACTCTTTACTATACAAGAAATGATAAAAGCCCAAGAAGCTAATAGAAATTCTGGCCAAGAAAGAAAGAAGAAAGAGACCCTATCATCAATAACCCTATTATCACTCCTCCACCACCATATCACTGTCTGCTGCTCTCATTCCACCCCCCAGTTCAACCTTCAGCTCCACCACGACCACCATGGCTAAGACTTTGACCAGACCACCCAGCGGATACATTCTTCACCTGTCGCATACCTTCTCACCAGATCTGGTCTACAAAGTTCAATCCCCGTTTCCTATCTCAAAAATCGTTTGGAAACGAATCCCATGTCCTACATGCCCTGTGTTGAGACACCATTAACTTTATCAACAAGTATATAGTTCGAATCCTGTTTATGTGTACCAGTTGTGGACACAATAAAATAAAAGAGTCAGCTGTTCTTTGGACTGTTATTATTACTTTGGTCTAATCTAGTTCGTTGCTTATTTCCTTGTTTTCTAATCGAAAGATAAACTGATATATAGTTAGAAAAACATGACAGCAAAACAGTTAAAGACTTGCCTAATAGTATATTTTTATTTTCATTCTTATTCTTTTTAGTTTGTTATTGTGACTAGA